CTCACCTTTTCTATATAAGATCAGGCCTAATGCAGAAGGGAGAAAACATAGTGAATGAAACAGTGGGAAAGGTTTGCCACATAGAGATGCAGTGGTAAAGTGATGGTATAATTAAGCGCTGTGTAGGGAAAAGCGCTGGGCTGGTTGTCATCAGGGGGACCACGAGCAAGTTGCTGAACCTGTCTGGATTCCCATTTCCATGTTTCTAATGTGGGAGAGCTGGGTTAGGGTCCATTTCAGCCCTCACATAAGTCTATAAAAAGCAAAATTTCCATTTAATGGCAATGTTGATCGCCAGTCTCTATAGTTAAGGTGAAAACTTCAGTATTCTCTTTTAGTCTGTCTCTATACTCAGAATGAATGGCACAACTGAGATCAACATTCAGATAGTGGACACCCCAAGCCTTTCAGTAAAAAACATTGAAACTGTGACATAACATAAGTAAATATGGTAGAAGTGGATTTGGTTATTTTGAGTAGCAAGAAAACTGCTTCAGTCCTTCACTTGCCTTTGCATGTAGACATATGGCCATTACTATAAAGTGTTTTTTCATCCTCAGTTATCTAGATAATAGTCTTAACTCCACTTCATTTTGGCTACGTAGATACAACTTAATATTTGTAATTGTGATATATTTGCTAAGTTTTAAATAAAGTATGGGAAACTTCTTTTGGATAGAAATAATCAGAAATCAAGCATACTGAACTCTAATATTTTTATGAAAAGGTTTATCATTTTACTTTATTCTATTAATTTCTTAGACAGGTTTGTTTCCTTCTATACAACTAGGAAAGAATGTATTTTTCATCAATTTTGCATACATCTTAGTTCTTGATTATCTGTCCTCATAAAGGAAGGGGTTCAGGAGGGTATAGAATAGATCATAGAGACTTATGGGTGATCTAATTACCTTTATCAGAGACAGAGAAGGGCTGTGGTGTCAGTCTGCAGAGCAGTGTTCCCTGGGTAGCAAGAAAGAGTTCCTGGTCCCCAAAAATGCAGGGAGTATAAATGATGTGAGCAGTGCACATGGAAAATCAATATTTGACTGTGATGGTATCTTAGTTGGATGAGCAAATACCATACTTACAAACACCACAGACTCTGTGAAAACAGAAAGAAACAACAAAGGGAATGTTTGATTGCATGCTCGTTTACTGACACACTCTCATCTTCATCTGTCTTAAAGTGGAAATCCATTTGACTATAAATACCTGTAAATGACTTTTCAGAAAAATAAATGATTATTACTTTGTGACTATCGACAGTATATGTCTGATGTTTGGGATTTGGAAAATGTGTCATTTGCGGGCTGTGTCAGAGTCCCGACAGGAAACAGATGGCTCGCCTAAAGTGGGTAATTTGAGATGTTAATAAAGGGACTCTGTTTTACAAAGGTGTGGGCAGAGTGTGGGAAACCACAGGGGAGGACACAGTGTTGGGGCCAGGGAAGAGGGAGGGAGGGGACAGTAGCAGAAGGTGAGAGAGCTGTGGGAAGGCTGCTTTTTAGGAGCTATGGCTACCGTGGAGGGACTCAACCAGTCTTGGTGGCTCCCAAAGCAGGGTCATTATTCCACAAATGGTGCTGGAGCAATCGGACCTCTGGAGGCAAAAGAACGAACCTCACATTTTACATAAACATTAACTCAAATGCATTATGAGCAGGAATGTAAAACTTTTATGAAAGAAAAAATAAGGGCAAATCTTCAGGATATAAGGCTAGGCAAAGAGTTCTTGCACTTGACATGATCCATTAAAAAACATACTGGTAAAAAAAATAAAGAGAAAAAAAAACCTAGTATATTACACTTCATTGAAAATACAAATTTTTGGCCTGACTGCTGTGGCTCAGTGGTTGAGCATCTGTGAACCAGGAGGTCAGGGTTTGTTTTGATTCCCGGTCAGGGTACATGCCTGGGTCGTGGGCTTGATCCCCAGTATGGGGCATGCAGGAGGCAGCTGATCAATGATTCCCTCTCATCATTGATGTTTCTATCTCTCTCTCCCTGTCCCTTCCTCTCTGAAATTAATAAAAACATTTTTTAAAAATTAGCCTGCTATATTTAAAAAATATAAATTTTTTCTCTGTGAAAGAATGTTAAGAAGATGAAAGATAAGCAATAGACTGGAATAAAATACTTGCCAACCACATATCTGAAAAAGGGCTAATATTTAGAATATATAAAAAATTCTTTAAAACTAAACAGTAAAAAATCTAATTAGAAAATGGACAAAAAAACACAGGCATATCCCTGATGGTATAGAGATGGCAAATAAGCACATGAAAATAGGTTCAACACCATTAGCTAGTAGGGTAAGGCAAATTAAAATCACAAGGAGATATTACCCCATACCTATCAGAATGGGTAAAACGAAAAATAGCAACAACACTAAATGCTGCTAGGATGAGAAGAAAGTGGATCACAAATACATTCCTGGTGAGAATGTAAAATAGTACAGCCACTCCGGAAAGCAATTTGGTAGTTTATTATAAAACTAAACATGCAGCTAATATTCAACAGAGTAATTGTATTCCTGGGCATTGACCACAGAGAAGTGGAAACCTGTGCTCACAGAAACACTTGTACAGGAATGTTCATGGTAGCTTTGTTTCTAACTACATACAACTGGAAACAGCCCAGATGTTCCCAGGTGAATGGCTAAATAAACGGTACATCTATACCATGGAGTACTACTCAGCAATAAAAAGGAATATATGCAGACAAGATCAAAGGATGGCAAACAGATGTTGTAGGAGATACCGTCAGCTCCGCCCAGACCCCCTTGGATCCTTGAATCATATCTGTATGCTCACACTGCTGGCTTCTATGTGTTTTGCTCTTAACTACCTGTACGGTGACTGTTCATTCTGAGGACTGCCTCAGGCTAGGGCCATGGTCGGCAAACTGCGGCTCGCGAGCCACATGCGGCTCTTTGGCCCCTTGAGTGTGGCTCTTCCTAAGCCTGAGGAGTACCCTAATTAAGTTAATAACAATGTACCTACCTATATAGTTTAAGTTTAAAAAATTTGGCTCTCAAAAGAAATTTCAATCGTTGTACTGTTGATATTTGGCTCTGTTGACTAATGAGTTTGCCGACCACTGGTAGGGAGTTGCTTTGAGTCACCAATAGCCAGAAGCGCCTGTGTTTCCTTCTCCCCTTCCCTGCCACCATCACTGCTGCAGAAGTGGGAAAGCTCCGCCCCCTCCCAATTATACTCCGGAGCTCCCTGTGAATCAGGCTGGGGCGGGCACTTCTCCCAAAGCACAGCCCTGCACTGCCTCTTCCCTTTCCCTGATCGTCCTCACTCCCTGACAGCTTTCTCTGGGAAGTCCTTCCTCAGTCAATCATTTGTGCTCAAATTTTCATCCTAAGGTTCATTTCTAAGAACCCAATCTAAGACAAAGAACATCAAACCACTTTAAACATGTATCTCATTCCTGGAGTATACCACCTAAGTATTCAAACCATTAGCATTTTAAATAAATCCTGTGATATTTTTATGAATGGTATGATTACATTATGTTGTATTTTGTCAATATGCATTGAATGTGTTATCTAAGCATTTACAATATACACCAATTTTAAATCTCATTTGGGTACTTCCTTCTTTCCTTTGTAATCTACTGTTTCAAGAAACATAAAGCGTAGTGGCCTTTGGGGGGGTCTGAGTTCCAAGTTCAAATATAATTCTTGTAGCTTTGGATCTTTATCAATGGTCGTTATCACTGTTTTTGGTAGCTTTCACTGGTTTTCTGATTTAAAACCTTGTCATGATTGAAAATCCTAAACATTAACTCCAGGCAATTGGTTCTCACACTCTTTAAAATATATTTATATTCAGCTGCCTCCTGCATGCTCCTTACTGGGGATGGAGCCTGCAACTTGTGCCTGTGCCCTGACCAGAAATCAAACCGTGACCTCCTGGTTCATGGGTTGACACTCAACCACTGCGCCACACCAGCTGGGTGGTTCTCACACTCTTTTGAGAAAAGACCTACCGTGCTACATACATTCCACCCCCCAACCCATCCTTTTTTTGTGTGCATGTAAGGAACTGGAAAGAATGCTAGGAGTTGTTTATTTACTTTTAAGGGAAGAATATAATCTCATCAATATGATTATATATTCCAAAATATGGCCTTATAATTTTTTTGAAAAACTTATTTTATCACAATTAACATCCTTGTCCCCAAAGTGGGAATTTCAATTCTCTTCAAGTGTATATGACAGGAACTTTGCTGCTACCAACTCCTTGATATTGTCTGGAACCCTTTAACCACGGAAGGAACATAAAGTAAGGGGCTTTACTGCAAACTGGGCAGCGCTGTCTTAAGGGACAGGTTAACATCTACTAGTAAGTGACAAGAACTTTCACATGGGAGGAAATTCAAGTAGTGAATAAACACGTGGGAAAATGTGCCACCTAACTAGTAATTAAAGAAACACAAATTCAAACAAGGTGGGACCTAGTAATCAGGAAGACAAAGTCAAAAAAACCATTTAAGCTGTTTAGCAGGCACCTTGGAGAATCAGAAGGCCAAACTGCAAGGTAAGGGTTTGATAGGCAAGTGGGGGATTCTGTGTGCTGAGGTTTAGGAATGGCAAGCGCAGGGGGCACAGTCACCACACCAGGGGACGGACGGGTCATGGGGTTCAGGGATGACCAAGTTCATCTTAGCCCAAGGGTGGAGTTACTAAGCGCTTGGGCGTCTCTAGGCAACCGATAAACCTTCCTCTCCAGAGTCAACTCTTTTGTAATTGGCTCACGAATCCACCAATGGGCGCACAGGAGGCGCTTCCCGCCACCTCTGGCGCCCGCTTTTAAACAGCCTTACTTTTGCAACTGCAGGCGGACGTCTCAACCAACCTTGAGCAACGCGGAGACTTTCACCTCCACGTCCCGCCCACCCCGGCATGGCCCCGCCCATCAGGATAGCCTCTAGTGGGCGATTGAAGGAGGCAGCTGTTCCTCAATAACGTCAAGACTCCAAGTTCGGTTGTGACTAGGAAGGAACTAGCAGATTGGAGCCTGGGTCTGGGGGTTTGCTAGAAGCTGGACTTCAGCTGGGGCTAGAGTTTCCCCGCGGTGACAGCATCCGCGGCCTCCGGTGAGTTTCGCTTCGCCTCCGGGCTTGGGGGTGCAGTCAGAGGAGGTGCGGGATCCTCCGGATTCTGGCTGAGGCTTCCGGGAGGGCTGACCCGCCCCCTCCCCAAATCCCGCGGAGGTGCATTGCCCTGCGGGAGCTCAGCCTTTGACTTTGAAGTGTCATTCTGCTTAGCTGTGAACTCCGGGAGGCCCTCTTCTCTTCTAGGCTGCTGGGGTCACCCTGAGACCCTCCCCGGGGGACCCCCGCGTGGTCACCCTGGCGCCCGCCTGGCTCACAGTGGGTGCTCTGTACACGTGTGTTGACCGAGTGCATGTGTCGCTGGCAGGCAAAGCCCGCCATCCCAGGCATCCTGGGCTGTGTGCAGCTTCGGTCTCGCGGAACCTGCTCGTTGTGCCATAGCTGACGCCAGGCGGAGTTCCTGGGTAAGGCCTTTGATTAATTCATTCGTTCAGCCCGTGGGTGCTTGCTTACTCGCTGCATCCTCTGGAATCCCGGACTTGATTTTTCTAAGCTGCTGTCATTAGCACTGATCACAGATGATCGTCATCCTTTGTTTATATGTTTATTTTCTTCCACCAAGTCCTGTTAAACTTTGTAATCTCGAACAGTGCTTGGTAAATGGTTGAATGAATGCATAGACCTCCTAAGCCTGATATTGCAAGTCTAAAACAGGCTACTGTGCTCCGGCTCTTTCCATTCTAGAAGAGAAGCAGGCATGTCAGCAAATAAATAGGATTTACTAACTCTCAGAGCGCTTCTAAACCCCTTTTGTGGCACCTAACGTTTTCTATCTGATAGTCATGAACTTATAGTGTGGTTTAAGCTGCATTTCGTGGTATCCTTTCACCAGATGTGACAATATATATGCACTTCTAGATATGTGAATGCATTCAGCTAATTGCCTTGGAATTTTCTTATGGCTGGAATTGAAGTCATAAGAAAAGCATAAGAAATATAGACCAAAAGTGGAAAGAGAGTGGTTAATTCCATGGGGGAACCGGATAGGGAGGGCATTTTGAAGGAGGTGGCATTTTTATCTCAGAAGGGGTTGTGTTATTTACTAGTAAAAGTTTCCCACAGGCTAAACGTTTACCTTTTCTCAAATATTCTGAATGCTCTCTGTTCCTTTAACCTCTTTTGTAGCTGGCTGACTCTTATTCAGCGTTAATGTCATAATAATAATAACTAAAATGTATTGGTTGCTATACAGTGCTAAGCACTTGATATGCATTATCTGGTGAAGCCTTATAACTAGTCTTGGAGGTGGGTACTACTTTTGTCCTCATTTTACTAATTAAGAAATGGAAACTCTTTGCTCAAAGTTGGACATCTTATAAGTAGAAGAGCCAGATTTGAGCCCGGGTTGTCTGAATGAGAGCCCTCATTCTTAACCACTTCCAGCCATATTGTGTCCTTGAACATCTATTTCTTATTAGAAGTCTTTCTGTAAAATTTCCCTCAGCCTTTTTTTCTTCTCAAAGTTAATATTTGCTGTTACTTTTCTCTATTATAAAATTTATGACAATGTATCACTGTAACTATTAATTAATATCATTGTTTCCCTAAGGAACTGTTAGCTTCTCACATCTGGTACTATGTCTTGGATATATCTAGGATATAACCTGGCACCCAGTAGGTGTTCAGTAAAGTTTTATCGAAATAATGAATCCATATAGGGTAACATGAATGCATTGTATTCATTCAACCAGTATTCGTTGTGTGCCTACCATGTCCAAAGGATAGGGTAGATACATTTAATTTCTGCCTTCAGAATGCTTGTAGATTCTTAAATGAGGCAAAACCAAAATGTTTTAGTTTAGCTTAACATTTTGTCTAACTAAATACCCATTGGTCTTCCTTCTCATTGTAAGGAGAGCAAAGACAACATAACCGGGGACAACAGAATGAGTACTGAGGGTAAGAAAGGGCACACCATAATCTTGTTAATAGGTTCAGAAAAGCTATCTATCTGGAAGAAAGTATTAACTAGCTTGCTATTAAAAAAGCATACTGGACACATTCTGCCTCTTGATTTTTAAATGATCAGGCAATAGATATAGAAATATTTAATTTTTATTAGTGGCATAGTATTGCCAAATTTATTCAAGAGTACATTTACTAGCCCTGGCTGGTGTGGCTCAGTGGTAGAGTTTAGGCCCTAACACTGAAGGGTTTCAGGTTTGATTCCCAGTCAAGGGCATGTACCTGGGTTGCAGGTTCATTCCCTGCCCCCGGGAAGCAACCAATCGTTGGATGTGTCTTTCTCACATAGATGTTTCTCTCTCTTTTAGTGGAAAAAATGTCCTTAGGTGAGGGTTAACCAAAAAAAAAAAAAAAAAAGAATTGTCATGTCAGTTGCCTATTTTTAAATTATTTTGTTTTGTGGTTGTTGTTTTTTCCCCTCATTTTTTTTGTGTGAGAACTGTATATTGGGACTTTGTCATGTATTTTGCAAATATTTTTTCTCATTATTATTATTATTTTATCTTTTGACATTTTTAGTGATGTATTTTCCCCTACATAATTTTTAACTTGTTAATGTTATCTTTAGCTATATACAAAACTTTTTGTGTGGTTAATTTCTGTCAAGTTTTTCCTTTATGGCTTCTGGGTTTATTATCTTGCTAATTTTTCTTCTAAAGCAGGCTCTTTTATTGTTCTGAATATTATAGTAAAGTCCCTGATAGCAATGATAATTAGTAGAGGTTAATAAGTTGAAGAAAAACATTGGCTTTTATTTTAAATTTTAAGTAAAATACTAATGATCTTTTTAGTCTTTTTTTTCTGAACCACAGTAAATTTATCAGATTCCCCTTTATGCCTATAATAGTTCTCTGGTAGTCTGCACTTTTTAGAAGGAAAACTTGTTTGTATCTTTTCCTCTGCAATGGAGAGAGATTTTGGCCTTTTCAAATATTTTCAAATTTCTTCTTTAATGAGATGGTTTGAATTTAAAATGTAATTTAAAAAAAGATGTGCTTTGATCTTTTACATTGTCTTCACTTAAAAATGAAAATAACAGCCCTGGCTGGGTAGGTCAGTTGACTAGAGTGACGTCCCCATAGGTCAATGTTACGCAGTTTGAATGCCTGGCAGGGCACATCCAAGAAGCAACAAATGAATGCATAAATGAGTGGAACAAGAAATTGATGTTTCTCTCTCTTTCTTATTCTCTCTCTCTTTCTTTCTCTTCCCTCTCCCCCTTCCTCTCTCTCTAAATTCAATAAATAACAACAAAAAAATGAAAATACCTTATAGAATTCATTATTCCCTATCTGAGAAAAAAGTAGGCTCTTATAAATCTTTTTTTTTCCAATGTTCAACACATTACTGGAATGTTAGTGAAAGAACACCTTTCCTTCTTTTATCTAATAACGAAGAAATTAACCCAAATCCCACCTCCTGGCTTTAATGATTAAATTCAGGAAGAGGTGAATAAGAATCAAAAGCAGGAAAGATTATTTATGCCTGGAGACTTTGGGGAAGTCTTTAAGGTCTAGCTTAATCTCATTTCTTTTACGGAGCCGGGATTTAAACGGCCTAGTATTTTCTTTATCTATAGATTGTGTAGACTTGATGTTCACAAGCAGTAGTGAAAAAAACCATGGACCCGAGCTTGTATGTCTTCCCCTCGCCATTTCAACTCTACTATAGACTTGTAGCTCAGGGGTGGGGAATGTCTGGCCCACGGGCCGTATAAGACCCGTGAAATCATTTGGTCTGGCAAGGCATTAGGGGTGAGTTAGTTAAATGTTTGACCAAGTAGCAGATTAGTTTTTAAGTTGATAATTTTGGATGGCCTGCAAATGATGTTACAAATATCCAAATGGCGCTTGGCAGAAAAGAGGTTCCCCACCCCTGTTGTAGTTGCTGGGGGGGAGACAGGGTTTAGACTCCCCAAGCATAGATATTTTCCCTCTCAGTGAAAGAGAACACATGTCCCTCCTCCTTTTAGCCCTGGCACAGGAGCAACAAGGAGCAGGGCAGGCCTAGGAAGCAGGCTTGGCGGGTTTACAGCTGATGCAAGGAGTTTGAGTCTATAGAGTTGAAAGTGATGGGCAGGGTGTAGGGATCCAGGAGGGAGGGATAAATAAGGTGGAGTGCAAATTAGAGTTTGGCCAAGAAACATAATTCAGACCTTGAAAAACAAAAACTGGACAAATGGGGATTTCAGCATTGAAAATCATGTTTGTGTTGACCTGTAATCCCATGTTTCTCCTACTTTAAAGTGCACATTTTAACATCTACAAAGTCAGGCTGCCTTTTAAGATTAATGATGTGCCATAATTTAATTGGCCACATCTTTTTCTTGGTGGTACAAATGGAGCTGTGTCATCCCATCCAGGGTGCCTCAGATCTGATGAAGTGGAATATCTTTTCCTATGGAGCTGTTGGCTTATGTAAAAGTTTGTGATCATAGTTCTCAACTGTTCACACGAAGGAGTTGAGTTCTTTATGGCAAAATGCTTTTGGATGGCTGGGTCCATGTTTCTTATTTCACTTCCAGCTTAATGACATTTTAGAGCCTGAACAGTGTAGCGAATGAGCTGTGGCTCAGGCTCACATCAAAGTGCCTTTCATTGGCACACGGAAGGGCCCACGTGGAGGGCCGTAGCGGGGGTAATTGATGGCGCCCGCCTACCTTTCTGTCAGGATTGTTCAGAGCTTTGAAAATCCGGGTCGTTTCTGTGTAGCGTCAGGATCCCAAAGCATAATTCAAATCATCGGCAGCTTTTTTAGTGTAAGTACTTGAAAACCCATTTCCTGCTGCTGCTTCTGCCACAGCCGTTACCATTCTCCAGGGAGCCCTGGCTGTTGCCTTTGGAATGGGAACTCCACAGTGGTACCACTTCATAGGCTCCACTTCTGTTTTTCTGGAGTATTTTTTCCCCCTGGAACCTGATTTTATCAGGTTTAAGAACAGGACATTAACCACTTATAGTTTAGTTGTGTGCAGTATGGAGTCCACCAGATTGAAAATGATTTTTGGGTTGCAATGATTTACTCAGGATTTAATGGCTCATTTTTTGTAAAGCATGAACTTTGGACTTGTGGCATTCAAAGGAGGAAGCCAATTGCTGAGGGTACTACCTGTGCCACATCGAATACGTCTAATTAGAAAATCTGAGCATGTTCTTAAGATTTTTATGTTTAGGGACATTTCTAATTTATTATTTTATTTTTGTGTGTGTGAACAAATGTCTTACTTTAAAAAAAAAAATCTTCATTGTTGAAAGTATTGCACATGTCCTCTTTTATCCCCATTGACCCCTTCTAGCCTGCATCCACCCCTCTGCCCCAGGCCTTCACCACACTATTCTCGGTGTCCATGGGTTATGAAGTCTTATTGTTTTAAGTTATATTTTTCAAAACACTGGGAAGGTCTAGTTATCAGTTTATTACATTTCTTGCATTTTTTTTTCCTGCGAATTGCTATCATACCGCTTTTTTCTGTGAATCACAATTGATTTGTAAGAACTCCCTTTATATTTGGAATACTAACCATTTGTCACGCATGAGTCTTCTTTGTGTGCGGCATCTTCTGTATAGTTTGGTCTGGCGAGAGTTTTGGGATATTTAGAAACCAGACATCTTTCTCGTCCCGCAGGAGGACCATGTCACTAGACTTTGGCAGTGTGGCACTGCAGACACAAAACGAAGATGAAGAATACGACAACGAAGATTATGAAAGGGAGAAAGAGGTGAGTTGCTCAGAAAAAAAGACTCCAAACCCAATCTTGAACAATTTTATTTCCTCATCAAAATTATGTCCTTTTGTGTCATTTTGAAGGAGTGTATAATCCCCCATTAAACTTGATCAGTACTTGGACTTCTAAGAGGTAGATGAGTGGAATGCTTCCTTTTTTGAGACGAGAATAGAACACAACCTTGAATGATGCCACTAGATAATGGCTAGATTCTCTACGCTGGTTCATTTAGGACAGTGGTTCTCAACCTGTGGGTCGCGACCCCTTTGGGGGTCGAACGACCCTTTCACAGGGGTCGCCTAAGACCATTGGAAAACACATATATAATTACATATTGTTTTTGTGATTAATCACTGTGCTTTCATTATGTTCAATTTGTAACAATGAAATTGGGGGTCACCACAACATGAGGAACTGTATTAAAGGGTCGCGGTATTAGGGAGGTTGAGAACCACTGATTTAGGAGGTAGTGGCTGGTTTTGGAGGCAGAGGCCTAGAATCTAGCTGCTTGGAACATTGCGTTGACCAAGTGTGGCAAGGTTCTTAGCTTACTTCTTAGTGGAGGCAGACCATATATAAGTAAACAAATGAATGAAGTCATTTGAGTGAGTGATAATTTAGCACTGATAAACGATAGGGGAACAAAATAGGGTTATATAAAGCTACTGGCAGGGAACTGGTGAGGAGGAAATGTTTGAGCTGAGGCTTGACTCATGAGAAGGAGCAGCCTTGCAGAAGCCTGAGGAAGAATATTCCAGGCCAAGACATCAATGAGTGTAAAGCCCAGAAGTCAGAAAGAGACCCTGTGTGTCCACCGAATAGCTGTTGGGATTGTGTGAGCAAGGGCTGAGTGGTGGAGATGGGGCAAAGAGGTGGGCTGGGCCAGATCTCAGTATGTCATGGTGAGACGTTTGTAGTTTATTCTAGGAGCAATGGGAAGCCAGTGGAGAATTTTAAGCAAGGAAGTGATATCTGACCATATTTTTGAACGATCTGTGTAAATGCTGTGTGGTGAATAGACTAAAGGAGAAAAGGAGTACGTGGAGGAGATTTTATATATAGTGTTTAATAGAATTCTTGGCACGTAGTAAATGGTGGCAATAGTAATAGTAGCAGTTGGTGCAAGTCAGTTTACTTGTTAGAATTGCTTTTAGTTTGAGTCAGATTTCTTGACTGACTGTGATAGCAGGTTTCTTTTGCATTGAGTCTATGCTTGATATGACACTTTTCTAAGTGGCCCATTAGTGTTGACAGGAAGCAAGGAATAGGGTCAGTTGCCCTTGGGGTTGGCAGTACAGTTAGGGCAGAGATACAGAACTGCCAGCTCAGTGGGTTTTGTCCATAGACATGTATTATTTGGTTGCAAGGTATTTTTGAATCTATATTTCAAGATTGGAAATTTTCATATAACAGTTCAGATTTTCTGGTTTGTCTTGAGACGTCCTAAGCCCTGGCCACATGCGGCCTGTGTCTGCACCATGCGCAGGTGGGCCGGAGCTGAACAGTAGCTCTCCCTTCCCGCTGGCCGCGGTCCCCACCTCTCGCACAGACATGGGCTCCGCTCTTGGATCTGCCAGCTTCGCTCTTATAAATCCTCTGCCAGGTCTCTGAGGGACTAGGCTTTGTGACCCTGGTCAGGGTGTTTGGATTTTGACAAGGTCCTTCACAGCAGTGTGGCAAGGACAGGGATGAGGATTTTCTGTTGCTTTGTGAACTCACAGCATGAGGTTTTCATGACCCCAATGGCTTTGCATAGTTTGCTGGGATTTAGCTACTGGGATTCTTGAGAGGATCAGTTTAAGTAATTACTATAGTCGACTTTAGAGAAGAGGGAAAAATGAACTGACAGGTGATTTTTCATTGGAAAAGATAGTAGTAGAGAGATGGATAGGGTATTGGAGAGAACTTACTGCCAAATGTACTGTGTGGTGAAAGTTTTAAAGGGGTATGAGTTAAGGAATCAATTAGTTCTAGATAATAGACAAAAATAGCCATTAGGATAACTTCTTTTTTAAAAAAAAATATGTCTTTATTGATTTTAGAGAGAGGAAGGGAGAGGGAGAAAGAGAAACATTGATGGGCTGCCTCCTGCATGCCCCCTACTGGGGATGGGGCCCACAATCAGGGCATGTGCCCTGACTGGGAATCTAACCGTGACCTCTTGGTGCATGGGACGATGCCAACCAACTGAGCCACACCTGCTAGGGCGGAACCATTTCTTGACAGATTATGTGCTGGGGTAGGGAATTTCCAGAGGCAAAGAAGCTCTTTCGAGGTTAAGTATCTGAGAATGAGTATTTCTAGCAGAGTGGAAGAAAATAACATATAGATTATGTGACTCTGGTATGATGATTATGCTCCGTGTTAATAAAAAGTATTTCATGTTAATAAAAAGTGGTTTTACCTTTTTTTAAAAAATTGCTTCAAGGTAAGACGTACAATGGATAAGGTTTCCATTGTATAGAGATTTTAAGATTTTCAGCAACAAAATTCAGAATTATTCATAAAAATCCAGCTGTATGTATATTTTGTCACTGCTAGTTAAAAGGAGAAGTTGACTGATCAGACCTAAGTTGCTTGCATACCCCAAAGCCTTTTCAAACCTCCTCACTCCCTGACCCTGTGGTAGCAGGACAGTTAGATGTTAGCTGTGGTCCTTTCTTGCCTGCCTGGTGGGTAGTTGTGGGATTGCTGGCTGGGTTATGAGTGTTAGCAGCGGGCTAATGCAAATGGCTTTCTCTACCTAGTGAATCCCTTTGTATTCAGTTCACTTATGTGGGAGGAATGCCTGTGTCGGCGAGGATGTGCTGTAGGGCTGGCCAAGCAGGCCATGTCTGACCCAGAGTCCACCTTGCTAAGGCTTTTGAGATCCTCTCTTGGCGGAATAATCCTGGTTTTGGTCAGTTGCTAATACAAGATGCTTTACCAAGTTGAGTTTTAATTTTGGAGCTTTGGGGTCAGTTGGGATTTTGTCCACACTTTCCCATAAGTCCCTAAATAAACCAGAGTCAAATTCCATCCTCCATGCCCTTCTAATTAGCAGCTCTATGATCATTGTCTTGCCTTTTCCATTTCTTTTTTTAAAAAAATATATTTTATTGATTTTTTACAGAGAGGAAGAGAGAGGGTTAGAGAGTTAGAAACATCGATGAGAGAGAAACATCGATCAGCTGCCTCCTGCACGCCTCCTGCTGGGGATGTGCTCGAAACCCAGGTACATGCCCTTGACTGGAATCGAACCCGGTTCCCTTCAGTCCCCAGGCCAACACTCTATCCACTGAGCCAAACCAGCCCGGGCCATTAACTCATTCTTTTTTTTTTTTTTTTTCTTTGTGGCTTAAGAGAACAGGAATTTATTGCATCACAGTCCTATATCAAGGTATCAGAAGGGCCACCACCCTCGGAGACTCTGGGTAGAATTCTTTCTTCCTTGCATCTTCCTTCTCCTCTCTTGTGAATCTATTGTAGGTTTTTTGCTGTGTTGTTACTGGAGCTTATATAAAACTTCATCTAGATATAAAAGTCCATTTTACACTGACTACAACTTTGATTTTATACAATAACTTCCCTTTTATTCCCTCCCCTTTATGTTTTTTTTTTCTTTTCTGGAAATACACAGACATTTTTAATGAAAGCAAAATGGGGCAATGGTGTCACAGCCAACAGGGATTGAACTCAGGCAAGGCAGGGCCGGTGCTGTTCCCGGGTCATGGAAGCCACAGCAGCCTGGTGGCATG